GCAAAAGATAATACGGTCTGTACAGTATAAAAACCATTAGCCTATGGAGAGTCCCCATAAACCATAAAAACAAACCTGTGTGTGTGTGTGTGTGTGTGTGTGTGTGTACTAGCTGTTTTAGTTAAATCTGCTGTACTAAAATGACAAAAAAATAAATAAATACAAATAAAAACTGTGATGATGTATGAAAAAACTACTAAAATTGACAAAAACACAACAAAATTACTAAAACTTTAACTAAAATTAAAAAGAAAACTAATAGTATTTCAGTCGTACTAAAATAACACTGTGGTGTGAAATAATGAACTATAATCATTGTGTGTTTGTTAATAATATGATTTCTGCATGAGAGAGTTGTTTGTTTATGTCAGTATGTGTAGGTGAGAGATTGTTCTTTCTTCACATTCTTGTTACTCTTTTCTCTCTCTCTCTCTCTCTCTCTGTCTCGAGTTTTCTAAAATCTAAAAATGCAGAAAGTTTCCTGTGAGGGGTAGGTTTAGGGGTAGGGTTGGTGTAGGGCAATAGATTATACGGTCTGTACAGTATAAAAACCATTAGCCTATGGAGAGTCCCCATAAACCATAAAAACAAACCTGTGTGTGTGTGTGTGTGTGTGTGTGTGTGTACTAGCTGTTTTAGTTAAATCTGCTGTACTAAAATGACAAAAAAATAAATAAATACAAATAAAAACTGTGATGATGTATGAAAAAACTACTAAAATTGACAAAAACACAACAAAATTACTAAAACTTTAACTAAAATTAAAAAGAAAACTAATAGTATTTCAGTCGTACTAAAATAACACTGTGGTGTGAAATAATGAACTATAATCATTGTGTGTTTGTTAATAATAACATGATTTCTGCATGAGAGAGTTGTTTGTTTATGTCAGTATGTGTAGGTGAGAGATTGTTCTTTCTTCACATTCTTGTTACTCTTTTCTCTCTCTCTCTCTCTCTCTCTGTCTCTCTCCCCCATCTGTGTCTTGGAATGTCTGCCGATGGGACTTCCATTGTCCTCATCCATATGGCCACATTATGGGGTCCTGTCACCAGGCAACTGCAGGTTCTTTTGCGGTTGCCATGACGAAGATTCTTTTAATGACGTCGTTGCTGCCCCCATGTGCCTCTCTTCATTATGGATGGAAGGTCTTTTTAAAAAGTCTGGGCACCTCCCCCGAGTACCCCCCCAAAACACACACACACACACACTTGTTACTCAGCCTCGTAACCTCCTTAGCTTCCAAAGGGTGACTGGAACTAACAATCCCACAATGGTGGCTGAAAGAATTGGTGTGGATATTCATACAGGCTCTATTGTGTTAGAGACTGAGAGACGAGGGTCGAGGGAAGCAGTGCTGTTAACAAACCCATAAACTACAGTTTTTGCTATGCTAAAATGTTCAGTCAAATAACCTAAAAAATTACTTAAGGTGGCAACAACTAAATTAACTAGTTTTGTTTTATACATATGAAAAAAATAAAATTACATTTTATAGTCAAATTAGTAGAAATAAAATTATATAGTTTTTAATGTGCATATACTTTATTAATAAATGCATTTATAATTTATACTGATGGTTAGATTACATCCATTGATCCTGTGTTTTTATGTAAACTTGAACATCTGCTTTGTGTGATTTGTTGAGCATCACTGTTGTGACTTGTGAATCGCCACTAATGTAAAGTTATATATTTGGCTGAAATAGATGAAGTTTTGTGTAAATGTGAAAAAAACCGTCAGTCATATTTTGCACTGTATGCTATTGTTTTTCAGTGAACGTGTAAGAAGTTACTTTATACTATAGTTGTATCGTGCAATTATTGAAAACTAAAAATCGGACTAAAACTGATTTGTTTTATCAATCTTTTTCAGAATTGAGCAATTATTGCAAACCAAAAACCTGATCAATTATTTGCATTGACTTTTTATTTATTTTGTGTAAAGAAAACTTATGATTTTTATGTCCGTTTTTGTATTAAATCAATTTTTATTTTTTTAGCAATTATTGCAAAGTAAAGACCTGATCTATTATTTATAGGAATTGTTTATTTCTTTTGTGTAAAGAAAACATGGGTTTTTATATGCATTTATCTGATTTTTTTTTTTTAAATTTTAGACATTATTGCAAACTAAAATTCTGATAAATTATTTATAAATGATTATTATTTTTTACTATTTATTTTGTGTTAGGAAACCTTATAGATACAATTTTCTAATGGCTATAAAATATGCATCTAATTTTTGGCGCAGTGCAAACAAAAGTCAAATGGCCTGCCTGTGCCAAGAGAAAAAAAACATATTGTTGAATCCTGAGCTGTATCTTGTATTTTGCATATAAAAAGTAAAACTTTTTCGTTTTACAGTCAGTGTGTGACCTGTTCACTTCTACTGGAGCTGAGCAGAAAAAAATGACATGTTTATGCTGTGGCGAGTGGCAATATGACCAGCTAAGCCTTAAGAAACAAGGTTTTGGAAACCCAGGCAACAACATTTGCACTTCATATCTGACTGTACTCGCTTTTCATTTAATAACCACCCAGCATCAGATACTTACAGCTCATTTCAATGAATTGGTCCGAACCTTTGTGGTAACTTCAATACTAAATATAAGCCATCATGACTTTGTTTAGCATCAAAACTAGTTAAAAAAAGCTAACTACCAGTCCTGAAAGTTTATGTGAGAGACTATAACCGTAATTTATTCTTAAACGTACAGAGGTATTAAAAACACAAGCATTCATATTTGTGTCAAAACTGTAAATGTTTATTCCAAACAACATTCATTCAAGAATTCAAAGACATTTAAAAAAAGTTTTAAAAAAAATCAACATTTCAGATGAGCTGAATAAACTGGACGTAGAGGTCTTGAGTTCAAGCACTGACTCCGTAAAGCACTGACCAGCAGAATATTCCCAAAAATAGACATTTTCCATAGTGGACCGAGATCCTGCTGGACTGTATTTCTAATGTGCCTTGTTCAGCTCTGATGAGCATCAGTGTGGACGGGTGAGTTATGAGTAACCGATCAGTCAGGAATGGCTTCAGTTTTCCAGCTGTTTCTCCTCAAGTGTTTAAGAGTCTCTGCAAATGTGCCGGAGCAGATTCCTCTAGATGTACACACAAAAGCATCGGTAAACATCACAACAGCTACAGCTACTAACTTCATGCTTTTAGTCTTTGACCAACTTTTACAAGCTTACAAACTTCTCCAGGTACCTAAAAGAGATATGTTCTCAGATTAGAGCTTCTCTTTCACCCATGAATGTCCTTGATAGTTTTGGAACAGCATTTTTAGCGAAGCGGAAACCCTTTATAGTAACTTTCATTATGAAAACAAACATCAAAGATGCTTAACAGATCAGTAGTTTGTGCACATTTACACATGAAGTTATATGAAAATTAAGTACTTGATCAGAAAAATGTGTAGAGTAGAAACAATTTTCACTCAGAAATTGATAGTAAATATTACAATTAATTACAAAGCAATTAACATTGATTTGACTGACTGAAATAGTATTTTCTTTGTAATACTCAATAATGTTTTATTTACATAGAAAAATCATTGTTACAGTGTATCAGCGACTTAAAGTTATTATTAAAGGATTTATTAAATACATTTCAGCCAATCAGTCCAAAGTGCTTTACAAAATAAAATAAAAAAACAATCAGGCATTATAGGCTATATAAAAATGATTTAATGTTTAATAGATCAGTAGTTAATGCACATGAATATAGTATGACTGAATGTTTCAGGACATTTCTCACTATTTCAAAGTGTTGAAACGATCTGTTAAGCATTGCATAATGTTTGTTAATATTGTTGAAAGTTATTATAAAACTTCCACCTTTCAGAAACGCATATCCTCAAAAGTTTCGTGTTAAATAAAAAAAGATCCAATCAGTTGTCCAAGATGCTTAAAAAAGAAAATCAGCCACCTGAAAACAGAAACATGCAGGTGCAAGTGAAATCAGTCCAAAGAGCGTCTAAACGTAATTCCTCTTGTCATGGTCCCCGTTAGATGTTGCTCTTGTGGTGGGCGCGTATTTGACCGAGTAGCCGGAGCTTCCAGAGGAGGGGCACGAGCAGCAGAGCATGCTTCCCCCGAGCAGCAGCAGCGCGGTGGCCGCCCAGCCGATGTAGAGCGCACCGCCGATCTCCCGTTTCTTGGCTGTCGGCACCTGCGGGTTGTAGAAGTCGGAGATGATGTTGTTGGCCATCCAGCACAGAGGCACGAGCACGAATATGGCACTGATGATGTAGATGACCCCTCCGACGTTCACCACGCGCGCCTTCACGCTCTCCGTCTTCATGCAGTTGGTGCACTGCGCGCCGGCGATCACCACCATCAGCCCGATGACGCACATGACGGACGAGATGACCGTGAGCGCACGCGCAGCCTGGAGGTCGTGGCTGAGCGCGAGCATGGAGTCGTGAATCTTGCACTGCATCTGGCCGGTGCTCTGCACGGCGCACGACATCCACAGGCCGTCCCAGATGGTCTGCGCCACCACGATGTTGGCCTCGATGAAGGCGGTCACCTTCCAGGTGGGCAGCCCACAGGCGACCATCTCCAAGAGCGTGCCGAAGACGCACAGGATCAGACCCAGGATCTCCAAAGCCGCAGAGGCCATCTCTTTTCTTCCTTAGATAGATCTGTGCGCCTGTTCCGGTACTTTGGGGATGTTTGGAAAGGCTGCGTTCCTCTCCAGAGTCTTCAGCCTTTGGTTTTCCTTTCTTCTAAACAAAGTTTTCGTCTCTAATTTTTATATATATAGCTGTCGATGCGCGTGTCACTGCGCGCTGAAAACTTCTCACAAGCGCAAGTGTCTTTTACACTCGCCCTTCAAGCAGTCTTATCGTCCCGACACATGAGTTGGAACGAGAATGCACGCATTGGTGGTAATGCATAGACAGACATTGGTGAAAATGTGGACGTGTCAAAATAAGGTGCCTATTTATAGCTAATACAGATATCAATGTTTTACGTGTGGCATGGATACATCGTATAGGTAGACATTTAATCGATGTCTCATTACACCCCTGATATTAATATATAATGATATAAGTAATATATAAGTTTTTGTCTCTAATTTTTATATATATATATATATATATATATATATATATATATATATACACACAAAGTTTTTTCTTTCCAATATCGTCTCTCCAAAGTTTGTGTCTCCAAATGTTTCTATTCAAAAGTCTTTTTTTCTCTCTCTCTCAAATCGATAAAAAAAACTGAAGCGCTTTGATCAGGTAGAACAGCATCTCTTCGCTGCGTCTCTTCTGTGCTTTGACTAACGGACTTTTCCTGGACTGGGAATAAGTGGAGTGGAATAATAGCGTTACGCCAAGAGGAGTTTTAGATGTGCTGCGTGCACTGAATGAAACACATTTGATCAAGCAGGGTGTGGACGAGGAGGAGGTGGTTTCATTTCAAACGAGGCGCTATAAAAATGTACCCAGGGTTATCTGTTGTTTCATTTATAAATTACATTGGAATTTGGCATCATGTGTGAATTCAGAGACGTGTTGCTCAGAAAGGGGTTTGAGGGAGTCGACGAGCTGATGGACAGAGTTTGACAGCACGAGCTCTGCCTGGAAGCAGCCTCCACACTTTAACATGCAGCCAACAGCTCAGTGTGTGATTCAGCTTTTTGGTATTCATGAGAAAATCCATACCTGTTTTCAGTGTTGGGGGTAATATATTACAAGTAACGCGAGTTACGTAATCAGATTACTTTTTTCAAGTAACTAGTAAAGTAGCGCATTACTTTTTAATTTACAAGAGAATATCTGAGTTACTTTTTCAAATAAGTAACGCAGGTTACTTTTATTTTCAATGTATTGATTGACAGCTCTGCTGTCCCCATGTTGAGAGAAATCAGATGTTACTGTAGTAATAAAATAAATATGAATATGCATTAATTCATCTCACTCACA